TTCTTTCTTTCTTTCTTTCTTTCTTTCTTTCTGCATAAACTTCTTTCTTTCTTTCTTTCTTTCTTTCTTTCTTTCTTTCTTTCTTTCTTTCTTTCTTTCTTTCTTCATAAACTTCTTTCTTTTTTCTTTCTTTCTTTCTGCATAAACATGTTTCTTTCTTTCTTTCTTTCTTTATGAAGAAAGAAAGAAAGAAAGAAAGAAAGAAAGGGAAGGGAGGATTATGTTGATTTCCTGACACAATATCCCTTTCCCGCTGTGGATTCATTTCCAGACAGGCCAGGCCAAGTGGAAAAGGCTCCCAGAGAAGCCCTCCCTTGCTCATTCCTGTCCTCCGACTGCCCCCTGGTGGCCTTTGTGCCTCACTTCAGGGCAAGAGCTGGACTCGGGGACCATTGCACCCGCTGGGATTGACTGAGTTGGGTTGCACGTTTGGGGTTTTTTCATCCACCGCCATTTGTACAGGGTCACCTGACAGGGAGCCGGCCTCAGGGCCTTGCAAGTCCCCTCCAAGTGCGCTGGGCCCGCCGAAGCTCACGAGCCCTCCACGCGTTTTGTTAGTCTCTGCAAGGCCTAGTCCTTGGGGGGAGAGGGGGGTTAAAGCGTATCTGTATCTTCTCAGGGATATGAGTTGTGATGCAAAGCAGCTTCATCAACAGCCACTAACTTTAGGTTCGGAGGAGATTTTTGTTCCAAGAAGGGTTACCAGATACAAAAAATCCTGAATATGGCGGGGGGAAAAATTGGTTGAGCAAAAAAAAAAAAAAAAAAAAGGTCACTGCGCCTTTAAATCCCCATACTTCCCCCTCCCCCCCCCAGGGAAGAATAGAAGAATGGCCCATCTTACATGTCCAATATTTTCTGGGGTTTTTACTGAACAGGGGCCACAAATACCGGCCTTTCCGGCAGAAAAACAAACACCTGGCCACCCTAAGGAGAGGTCTATGGTTGCTCGGGACTTGGCTCAAAACTACACTGCTTAATTATAACGGGGGATTATATTACACGTATTTAACCCTTTCACCCTGGTTTACACTTGGACTTCATTTTGAAATAACCTCCCCTCCCATCGCAGTTGAATTTTCAAGCAGCGCGTCCACACAACCAAGCTGGAGATTTCAAAATCATGGGCTGTGGAATTCGAAATCTGGGCGCCTGCTTTTCCTCGGGAGTAACGCTGATCCCAAAAGGGTGATTGGACACGCGGGCACTGCTCTTTCGAAATAACGACTCCCCAGCGTCCTTCAAACTAATTTCTTCCCGGAGTTTCCTGGGGAGCCGGCTGCGGACGCATTTCAGGGGGACACTCTTTTGATTTTGTGAAATCAGGAGCGATGAAACTGAATTTACTGATTTCGAAATAGTTTCTTAGTGTAGACATGACCCCACTGAGTTCTTTCTTGCGTTCCTGACAGTGGGTTGGGGTCCCAAAAGCTTACGGTCCCAGCTCCATGTTTCGTTAGTCTCTAAGGTGCTGCAGGACTAGTCGTTGTTTTTTAAGATTTTCCATTAAAAAAAAGACGGTTGTGCGGTTGCTTCGAAAGAGCCGTTCCTTGTGTAACACACACAAAGGAAGCTGCCTCGGCGAAGGAAGGAAGAAGGAAACCTACATTGTGTTTCTGAAAAGGAAGGGAGAAGAAAAGCTACCTGGTGGTTTTGAACCAGAGACCTTTGGGGTGCTAAGCAAATGTGATAACCACTACACTATAGAAAACCATAATGTGGTAGTTTTAACCCCTCTATAACCTCACCTTTGTGACTGGACTGAGTTAAATGCAATCTGTTCTCGGGTATACAGCCCCCTTCTGGATAAAACTATACCCAGTGTGTGGAGGGTGCTTGCATCTGTCAGATTGTTTGACTTTTCCTTGTATCCTCTCTCCAGGTGTAATTTTCTGCGCACCGGCTTCCTTGCCATGTGTATTTTCCTGGGTATTTGCGCCGGAGCGCTGATGGGGAGTTTTGCCTGCGTACAGTGTGAGGAATCCCTCCACGACGTCCCACCAGCATGGGAACATCCGAGCGGCCAAACCAAGGGCCCATCTAGCCCGGCGTCCCGTCTGCTGACAGCGGCCAACACCAGGTACCCCGGAGTGAGCGTAAGAACCTAACCTAAGACCGTCCACATGGGGTGAGCCCAAAGGCCCATCTAGCCCGGCGTCCCGTCTGCTGACAGCAGCCCACACCAGCTGGCCCAGAGGGAATGAACAGCAGCAGGGACTCACCTCAGGCCAGTTTATTTCTCAATTTCCTGCTCCGGTTTCTGACAGCAGGCGGAGCAAGTGACAAGCTAGAGGTGGCAAGAGGCCGAGCAAGTCAGCAAAACCGGATCTGGCGGGGGCAGTCCCAGGAAATCCTGGCGCCTTTTTCCCCAGCCGGTTTGAAACTCGCGTCACTTAGGGGTGCGTAGGCTGGGAAGGGCTAGCTTTTTCCCCCGCACGGCTTGAGCCCCGAGTCACTTGGGGGGGTGTAGGCTGGGAAGGGCTAGCTTTTTCCCCCGCACGGCTTGAGACCCGAGTCACTTGGGGGGGTGGGTAGGCTGGGAAGGGCTAGCTTTTCCCCCCGCACGGCTTGAGACCCGAGTCACTTGGGGGAGGGGGGGTGTAGGCTGGGAAGGGCTAGCTTTTTAAAACCCCAAATCATTTTTAAAAAATCATGTTGCTTTTTCTTAGCCACACGCTCCTGGACTGCGGGGAGCAGACCACTGCCTGGGGGAGATCCGAAGCTGAGACGACGGAAAAAGAACAACAGCAGAGCTCCTCCGAAGACTACGGGTATGAGAGAGCAGGGATTATGGCTCCAAAAAATGGGGCTCGTCCGGGATTTGAACCCGGGACCTCTCGCACCCAAAGCGAGAATCATACCCCTAGACCAACGAGCCAGCTGTTTGGATCCTCTTTTCAAAGCCTGTTGAACTATTTTCACACCCTGCTAGGCTTGGCTTTTGACTTTTAATTTTTGTAGTTTCCCTGGCTTATTGGTGCTTTTAAAGTTCAGGAGCCAGGAAGGAAGCCGACAGTCTTACGTCTCCGCTCCCGCCCCTTGCTTCTTTGTCCTGAGGGAGAAGAAAGGGGCGTTGGGAAACAGAGCCGAGGAGGGGACAATGAAGCCAAAACTTTGCGGGATTTCCCCCAGATTTTCTTGTAGTTCCCATTGGGCAACACCACCCAAGTCGTAAACTAGTTTGCCAGGGGTATCTCAAGCAGTTGCTGCTGGGGGGGAGGAGAAAGACCGGGAAGGGGACTGAGTGAGGGGGGTAAACTTGAAACAATCCTCATGGGAATACAGTGGGAAGGGGTGTCATTCTGGGTTAGCAAGAAAATCTTCATTACTTCAGTTGGGGTTTCGTGGGGTTGCACGCCACTTCTTGCACCTGACCAACTTTCCGGTCATGACAGTTTTTGCCCCGACCTACCGTCTGTGCACCCCAATTTTTTCACCAACCTACCTTCTGTGCACCCCAATCTTTCTTCGACCTACCTTCTGTGCATCCCAATTTTTCCATCTGTCCTGCCCTCTGTGCACCCCAGTTTTTGCACCGGCCTGCCTTCTGTGCACCCCAATTTTTGCACCGACCTATCTTCTGTGCACGCCAATTTTTGCACCGATCTACCTTCTGTGCACCCCAATCTTTCTTCGACCTACCTTCTGTGCATCCCAATTTTTCCATCTGTCCTGCCCTCTGTGCACCCCAGTTTTTGCACCGGCCTGCCTTCTGTGCACCCCAATTTTTGCACCGACCTACCTTCTGTGCACCCCAATTTTTGCACCAACCTACTTTCTGTGCATGCCAATTTTTGCATCGACCTACCTTCTGTGCACCCCAGTTTTTGCACCGGCCTGCCTTCTGTGCACCCCAAGTTTTGCACCAACCTACCTTCTGTGCACCCCAGGTTTTGCACCAGCCTGCCTTCTGTGCACCCCAATTTTTGCATCTGTCCTGCCCTCTTTGCACCCCAGTTTTTGCACCGGCCTGCCTTCTGTGCACACCAATTTTTGCACTGATCTACCTTCTGTGCACCCCAAGTTTTGCACCAGCCTGCCTTCTGTGCACCCCAATTTTTGCACCAACCTACTTTCTGTGCATGCCAATTTTTGCACCGACCTGCAGCCTACACCAGGTATAAAATCAGGGGAGGTGTGACACTGAAGCCAGGACTCCTAAATAGCCGGTGTGAATAGAACTGGGTTTTTAATTGTGCGTGAAAACGGAGAGGCACTAGCAGGTGGCTTTGAACAGGGAGAATCCACCTCTGAGCCACTGCAACAGGCAAAAGGACATATACAGGAAGCAGCTTTTTCACAAGGGTAGCGTGGCCGAGCGGTCTAAGGCGCTGGATTAAGGCTCCAGTCTCTTCGGGGGCGTGGGTTCGAATCCCACCGCTGCCAGAATTTTTTTTCCCTCTAGCATCCCTATTTTCCACAAAAATTCAGGGGAGAGTTTTGATTGCACTGGATTCATTAGGGTGTCGCTGTTGCCCTTTCCTGACCCAAACTCTGCCCTTCACCGAACAGAAAGTCTGGTTTTTTAGAAAGTTCCCCTTTTGCACCCCCAAAATGTTTCAATAGAAATTGCCCGGGGTGCAGTGAGGTTGGGGGGCCAATGGCAGAACAGCACCCCAAAGCACTGGACATTTCTATTCTCCCAAACCAGTTGCACTTCTCCCAAATCGGTTTCACACCGCTTCAGCAAAACTGGAGTTTGTTTCTGCCCGGTTTCGAACCGGGGACCTTTCACGTGTTAGGCGGACGTGATAACCACTACACTACAGAAACCCACTGAAATGCTCTACTTCCCTGGTGTGGGGGATATTTCTCTTTAATTCGATTTCACTTTCATTTGGAGCACTGGTTTGTGTCTACACGGAGGTTTTAGTTGTGTGGGTGTCGTGTGTTTGCAAAGGGTGCTGATGGTGGCGTTACTCTGCACGGGTCCTTCTGGATGGCGGTGAAACTCTCTGCTCACCCTGACGCCATAGTGAGCAGCGGGGTGTGCGCCCCCGTGAGCACGGGACGTATTTGTGAGCGTGCACACACGTGGGCCAACGTGTGTCGGATCGAGCGTATTTTGAACTAGTGCTAACGCCCCTTAATCCTCGGGGACCGTCATGCTAGCCAGCCTGTTATTTTGAAAGCGGTTTTAAAAGACGTGGAATAGACTTCGGGGCACTGGGACTATCCCGAAATAGCGGCAGGTTGCAGACGCACCAGGAGGGTACACCTTCGTGTGCCTGTTGTGGATGCATGAAGTTGCGGGGTTTGAATTTGCGTGAATGTAGCTCAGTGTTTCTTAAACTTTTTAAGACTGAGGACCACCAAGCAATTTTTTTCATGGGGAACACCAAAAATTTTTTTGTTGAGGAAAAAAAAAGTTGTTGAGCCAAAAAAAAAGGGGGGGGGGGGTCTCCCTTTAAGGATGTCTTGCAGCTAGTGTGACTCCTAATTTGTGTGCCGAAACGTGGCCCTCTGTGTGTGCGCGCACAACAGCGGGATCAGGCCGTGCATGCGCACACAAGTGTGATTTGGGCCTGCGTGTGTGTGCACAACAGTGGGATCAGGCCGTGCATGCGCACACAAGTGTGATTCGGGCCTGTGTGTGCACACAACAGTGGGATCAGGCCGTGCATGCACACACAAGTGTGATTCGGGCCTGCGTGTGCGTGCACAACAGTGGGATCGGGCCATGCGTGTGTGCACAAGTGTGATTGGAGCCTCTGTGTGTGCACACAACAGTGGGATTGGGCCATGTGTGTATGCACAAGTGTGATTTGGGCCTGCGTGTGTGTGCCCAACAGTGGGATCGGGCCGTGCATGCGCACACAAGTGTGATTCGGGCCTGCGTGTGCGTGCACAACAGTGGGATCAGGCCGTACGCACACAAGTGGGATTCAGGCCTGCATGTGCACGCACAACAGTGGGATCAGGCTGTGCGTGTGTGCACAAGTGTGATTGGAGCCTGTGTGTGTGCACACAACAGTGGGATCGGGCCATGTGTGTATGTACAAGTGTGATGTGGGCCTGAGTGTGTGCACACAACACTGGGATCAGGCCATGCATGCGCGCAGAAGTGTGAGTTGGGCCTGCGTGTGTGCACACACCAGTGGGATCAGGCCGTACGCACACAAGTGGGATTCAGGCCTGCATGTGCACGCACAACAGTGGGATCAGGCTGTGCGTGTGTGCACAAGTGTGATTGGAGCCTGTGTGTGTGCACACAACAGTGGGATCGGGCCATGTGTGTATGTACAAGTGTGATGTGGGCCTGAGTGTGTGCACACAACACTGGGATCAGGCCATGCATGCGCGCAGAAGTGTGAGTTGGGCCTGCGTGTGTGCACACACCAGTGGGATCAGGCCGTACGCACACAAGTGGGATTCAGGCCTGCATGTGCACGCACAACAGTGGGATCAGGCTGTGCGTGTGTGCACAAGTGTGATTGGAGCCTGTGTGTGTGCACACAACAGTGGGATCGGGCCATGTGTGTATGTACAAGTGTGATGTGGGCCTGAGTGTGTGCACACAACACTGGGATCAGGCCATGCATGCGCGCAGAAGTGTGAGTTGGGCCTGCGTGTGTGCACACACCAGTGGGATCAGGCCGTACGCACACAAGTGGGATTCAGGCCTGCATGTGCACGCACAACAGTGGGATCAGGCTGTGCGTGTGTGCACAAGTGTGATTGGAGCCTGTGTGTGTGCACACAACAGTGGGATCGGGCCATGTGTGTATGTACAAGTGTGATGTGGGCCTGAGTGTGTGCACACAACACTGGGATCAGGCCATGCATGCGCGCAGAAGTGTGAGTTGGGCCTGCGTGTGTGCACACACCAGTGGGATCAGGCCGTACGCACACAAGTGGGATTCAGGCCTGCATGTGCATGCACAACAGTGGGATCAGGCCGTGCGTGCGTGCACAAGTGTGAGTTGGACCTGCATCTGTGCGCACAACAGTGGGATCAGGCCGTGCGTGCGTGCACAAGTGTGAGTTGGACCTGCATCTGTGCGCACAACAGTGGGATCAGGCCGTGCGTGCGTGCACAAGTGTGAGTTGGACCTGCATCTGTGCGTTTGGGGGCGTACCTTAGTCAAGCGCCTTTTGTGCGTGTTAACCGTGCGAGAGTGGTGCACGTGGGCATATTTCAGCCTTTCTTCTGCCCCCAACAAAGCCCCCGGGTACTCCATTGGGGCAACCTCCCCTCCCCCCTCCATACCGACCACCGGTTTTTCTTCCTTCTCCTGCCACACCAGGGCGGGGGGAACTGTTTTTTGTCAGGGGACCCTCAGAAAGTTCAATCGCACAGGCGTGAGACGCAAAACCCCCCAAACAGACACAAGCCCCTAACTGAGAAGGAGACCACATGTAGGGGTGCTAGGTATGGGTGGGGAGTGAGGGATTTAAAGGCACAGGGTTTCTTTTTTGGTATTTTTGGTGGCAACCTCCCCACATTGCCCTGCACACCAGAGTGCTAGTAGATTTCGTGGGCTCCAGCCTCGCGGCGGGGCGGCCGGCGGGGGGGAGCCCTGAGCTGTGGGGGCCGGATCCAGGCAAGTTGGGGGCTGCATCCGGCCCCTGAGCCTCATCCCCACCCCAAAAGCACAAAAAATCTAGAGGCAGAGGGAGGGGGATG